TAGTGTGGCTCTTTAGTTAGCCTTTGAGAGCACACTAATTTAGTGTAATGACATAGTTATTGTGTGGATAAAAACTATATCAACTAGAATTGTTGTAGGTGGCTTGCATTTTTAGTAGGCTAGCGCAACACTTGCTTCGCCTCATAATTGTCTAACCGGTTTGTTAAGTGTTGTTGTAGAAATTTTTAATAGGCTATTCACCCCCCCTCTAGCCATTAGGACCTTTCAAGTGGCATGGCTCGGCACAGAGGCAGACATCGTTGCAGCGGTGTAGGATCAGGACACGACGTGAGCGAGTGAGCTGGACTAGCTGGGCAACGACATTTACACGTCTCGGCCATCATTGGTCGCGTATGCATTAAAGTCTTGTGGTGTTCACGCTATACGGCTTAAAGAAGACTTGCCGCGACGTACCGTGACGAGACAGATCGGCTTTGGCTGCGTGCGAACGGCGACAGCGGAACAACGGCCTTGTGCAGAGCCCGCCACGCAAAACCAACATAAAAGGCAACGCGGGGAAAGCAGCGGCATCACGACAAGGCCATTAGTTCGACGGGACAACGGAGGTAGTGGCTACAGCTTCGGCAAGGCCCACGCACGGCTCGACCGGCAGCGAGCAAGACCGGTCACAGGCGCGACCATGGCCAGGACCGGCAGTAACGTGCACACGCGGTAATTTCGGCTCAGGCCGACCAACAACGAACAATGACGAGCACTAAATCTAAAGCAACACGAAAACTGCTAATGATCGTGATTGAGGCCCACTAATGTCACGGCACTAAAGTTGTTATCATCAGCTATCCCACGGAGCAATCCGCACAATAAACGGGCCACACAAGAGGAAGATACCAGCATACCAACCTACGAACTACACCAAGCCAAGGTACTCGCCGTGAACCATCAAGCTATACAAAAACATGGATAATTTGTTTTATCATTTTATGTGTTTTAAAAACTTTAAAACACGAGAGCTTGGTTAATTAATTTCTTTTAGGCCTTAATCAAGGTGCTAAACAAGATTGTAACACCAGGGGTGTTACAACTGTGGTGTCAGCTAATTTGGAGGGCATAGGAGTGTTTGCCTCAAAATGGATCTCTCACAATGGAAACCCAATTCTTATTTTAAGATAGGCCACTGAGTACAATCAATATTAGTACCAATTGCTGTTCTGTACATATTTTTTTAGGTTAAGGTGCAGTTCTGTACATTGTTCATTGATTCTTCAGTACACATTCAGTTCACCTTCAGTAAACAAGTAGCTAGGTCGTTGTTCTAACCACATGGATTAACTGAACATGTTTCTAGGCCTCGTGGAATCAATACCTATGCACTGAACAATGTCTCCCTGTGCCTGCAGGACCGAGTGGAAGGTGTATATCGTGGGTTTTTACAGAGCATGGCACAATCTATTAGTAAATTTTTGTTCTTATCTCGAAACAGTTTTGGGATTACCGGAAGATGGTTGTATCAACAACTGACACATTTGCAATAACCAATGATCAAATATAATAGATTAATAGGTTGCTAAACCTCCATCTTTGCATTCGAAACTAATGTGGTAATACATGTATTTGATTGATGATGGAACAGTAATCTTCATTTGTAAAACTTGCAGCAGGATGCAGAACAGGACATCACATTGTCACCACAAATTACACATGTCATGAACCAAAACAAGTTGCTTCTAAAAACAAAGACCCATCCATACCTGCAAACTAAGGTGTATGTATGGCTGGCAGGGTGTATTTATGGGATTAACTGTAGATGGCAGGGTGTAGCTAGTGAGTTTTCCAAGAGACAGGGAATAGTGACTGGATTCGACAGAAACAGAGAGGCTAGTTTGCAAAGCGCACATTGACTATGCTGCGGACTGGGTCCATGAAACCATGGACTGGCGGTGTGGCGTGTGAGCGGTCCACCGTGGACCAAGTCCATGTTGAAGGGTATGGGTCCTTGTATTTCCAGTGTATTTCCTCTTTTATTCTTCTGAAGGAAAACGGCAAGAAAGCATAGACATGTCATCTTGATGTCATCAAGCTAACAAGCTAGGAACGCGCGCTTGCGGTTGCGCAGTGTGCCTTGCGCGCACGCACGTGCGTGGAGAAGGAGCGTAGGGGTGCGGGGGAAGCTCACCTGCGGCTTACCAAGGGCGGAGGAGCAAGCCCCGGGACTGGCTGTTCGCCAGAGCGAGCTCACACCTGGCAATGGCGGTGCGGCGTAGGAGTTCGCGGGCGTGATGCTTGTGCTGCCCAGCTGGTAGTGGTGGGCTGGTGGTTCATGCTAAGGAGCTCGGCCGCTCACCATGATCGCCGATCTGTTGCGGGCTCCGTGACTGCAGGTGGTGAGATCAGCGATCTGTTGCAACGGACGTCGGAGTGGCGTCCTAATTCCGCGTGCCTGGCGTGTGTCAGTGGCGGTGGAGACCTGAGGCGTCGGCGGCGGCGCAAAGCAACAACGTCAGTGGGGAGGGCACGACGCCACGGAGACTCAAGCGGGGCGATTTGGAGACGGCTCCGCTGGTTGTCGTCGTCCGTGTGCTTCTACTAGGATTAGCCGTGGCCATCTTCGCCCACGTGCTGCTGTTAGGATTTGGGTTTAGGTGTTCCGTATCACACAACAGGAAGGGAAGACAGATGGGGATATAGGGTCCTGGTGACGTATCTGGTGGGTGCTCGTCGCTAGCTCGGCATCGTGACAGGGTACGCCGACAGGGGCGCACACTGGTGTCAACGGGTAGGGCGGTGAGGCGATGGGCGCTCCAGCGGCGTCGAGATGACGGGGATAGGACGGGGCATCAGACGGGGCCGGTACAGGGTAGGACGGGGACAGGGCGCGATTGAACGATGGCGTTGATCAGCGGACGACGTGTGCGATGGCGAAGGTGGCGCGAGGGCCAGGCACGAAGAGGTGAGGTCGTGGTGCCGTACGAGTGCGAGTGCCAGGGAGGTCACAGTGCAGGTGAGGTGGCAGTGCAGGTGAGGGCGCGGTCTCGCATGATTGGCACGCGTGGGGTGATCGCGGAATTGATCACGATTGTTACGGGAATTGATTTTTGCCTTCATGTTATGGGGATTGAGCTGTTCGCATGGAGCGAGTGCACGTTGCCTTCCTGATCTGATCGCATGGAGCGAGTGCGCGACACCGTGTTGACGTAATAGCACGAGAGAGGCAGAGTGACGCCCAAAGGATTGTCGCACGAATCGGTGGTCTTAGTTTTGTTCTTTTTAGTTGTATAGGAGATAGGAGACTGCATTCTCATTACCCAACGAGAGAGATTGGACGATGGATACATATCTAGTTTAATATTTATATATTGTAATATAATGTTTATGAACATTGTTTTTTTACCAAATATGGCACCTATTACTTATGAACTGCTATTATTTTTTTCGAATACGCATGGGAGCTACGTATCTTTGTGTTATAGAGAGAGAAAAACGGTCCGTATACATTACCAACTCATGCCAGGACGATACATGAGAAAGTTGGAAACACTTTACAACATGGTTACCCGAAAAATACTTTTAACGACCAAACAGCAAGGCAAAGACTCATCCAAAAGCTCCCACCCTATCCAGTCCGAGCGCATGAAGTTTCTTAGCTCCGGCGTGGCACCAAAGCTTATACTCATCTTTAAACTGTCACAAAAGCTCACTAACAGAAGGGGTGTCTCCATAAAAAACACATGCATTACGGTGCTTCCATAGCAACCACAATCAAAATGATGAGAGAATTTGCTCCTTTCCTGTTCGCCAATGTGTTTGCATGAGATGTATTGTATGTGCTTGTAACACGCTGATTATCGTTAGCTCCACCCATCATAGAAACAAAAAGACAAAGATAAGTATGTGTAGACACCAAGTAAAATTCGAGCTTTCCAATCCTTGCCTTTTGGAATGGAAACCCAAAAAGGTGACAAAATAGAAAATGAGTGTAGGTAGAACCAAACTTGTCGTTTATAGGAAACACACAACCAGTAAGCAAATGTTGAATCATTTCCTCCTCTTGATCACACAAAGGACACCTCTTCGGGTGTGAAAATCCTCAGGGTTGATATCAAATATGGTACCTATTACTTATGAATTGCTTTTATTTATTGATATATAGTTCGTTACCAATGTGTTTGCATGAGATGTATTGTATGTGCGAGTGAGATGGACTAGATGTATATGTGCGGGCTACTTTGTTGCTACCATAGTTGGTCCATCTTTTTTGTGGTGTATTTAAGTTGTCCTCTATATAGAAACTGCTATAGAAACCATGAGCGGTGAAGGATAGTTTGTAAAGAACATTAATTGTGCTCTATCCCTCTTAGAAACCATCCATAGAAACTATGAGCTGAAGACAATGACAGATAAATAAATAACTCAAAATTATTTAAATAGTGATGAATATGACACCAAGTAAAATTCGATAGTAAATAATCCACCGGATCTGGATCGGAGGACGGAGAAATATACAGCAAGGCAGAAAGCCCTTCTGGTCTGGAAATTGGGACCTGCTGACCTGCACCTATCAAAGCCGGGCAGCTCGTGCAGCCTTGGTAGTGAGGGCCCCACAATCCAGTTCCCACACGGCGGCGCCCGCGCCCGCCATTTACTCCGCTCCGACGTACTCGTCCCCCCACTCCTGAGCTGTCGCTGACAGCAACCCCCATTGACTCCCGACACCCACAGCCGCACTTACCCGCGTGGCCACGACACTCCGGCCCCACCATATTAACCCTCTCCCACCGCCACCCGGGCCACGCCGCGTTCCCCACCTTACCCACCTGTCCCCGCGGCCGTCGTCTCCCCCGTCCTATTCCCGAATTCCGAATTCCACTGCGCTGCGCTTCTGCCTTCTGCTCCCCCCTTTTCTCTCTCTCCCTCCGTGCTCGCTCCCTTGTATCCCACGCGGCTGCGGCGGTGGCGGTGGCGGTGGCGGCGTCCGAGGCTTAGGGTTTAGCGCGGGGGAGGAAGGAGCTTAGGGTTTTGGGAAGAGGAGGAGGAGGCGGCGGATGGGGACGGCGGGGAAGGGCGCGTGGGTGGTGCCGGCGCCGGCGTACAGGGAGGTGGACGGGTGGGAGGGCATCGGGGAGGACGCGCCGGGCTTCAGGTGCAGCCACTCGCTCACCGCCGTCGCGCCCACCAAGGGCCACGGCCCGCGGCTTATCCTCTTCGGCGGCGCCACCGCCATCGAGGCCGGCGCGTCCTCGGGCCTCCCCGGCATCAGTTCGGTCCTCCCATCCCTTGCTCGCGTCAGCTAAGCTTTAGAGTCTTGCCCTTCCGGGTTTGCTCCTTGCGTGATCTAATGGCGGCGTCCTTTGGCTGTAACTGAAGGGCTCGCGGGGGTGACGAACTCGGTGCACTCGTACGATGTGGAGAAGCGCAGGTGGACAAGGTACGCCACACCACTGTCTTTTAGATTTTCTTCTTCTTGCTTCCTAGAGTGTGGGCATTTAGCTCAATTGCGAGTCCTGCTGTTGCTTCGGAGCTTATTGGAGGTCAATTTTGTAGGTTCTGTCTCTGTGTGATAATAGTTTGTTTAGTGTGGTGAACTTTGTATGTAATTTTAATCCTGATCAATATTGCATAGAATTGTATGCTTTCCATCCATAATTCAGTGCCTGTTATCGCGCTTGCTTGTTTGGAATGTGTCTCCGTGGTAGTTTGGTGACTACCAACTTTGCATAACATAACATTGTTTGTTGTGAAATGGATTCGTTAAATGCTCAGGGTTAAGTTCTACGTTTCCATCCATAATTCAGTGCTTGTTATCGTGCTTGCTTGTTTGGAATGTGTCCCTGTGGTAGTTTGGTGACTACCAACTTTGCATAACAACCAATTAACAACGGTTGTTGTGAAATGGATTCTTTAAATGCTCGGAGTTAAATTCTACGACCCTACGTTTCTGCAGGTTACATCCTGCTGGAGAGCCTCCATCTCCGAGGGCCGCGCACGCTGCAGCTGCAGTGGGCACCATGGTTGTTTTCCAGGTACTAGGGACTTGGGATCTTCAAATTCCATTTTTCGCGCCAATTTTTTCAGTTTTGATTTAGACAATGTTGATGTAGGGTGGGATTGGACCAGCAGGGCACTCCACAGATGATCTCTACGTCCTTGACCTCACAAACGACAAGTTTAAATGGCACAGGTTAGGTTGACTCAAGATGCACCGTTTCTTTTTCCCATGTGCTTTCCGTTTTATCTTGTTTGTCGGATTGCGATCTGACGTGTCCTCTTTCTGGCACTTGATGCAGGGTCGTTGTTCAAGGGGCAGGGCCTGGTCCTCGCTATGGTCACTGCATAGATTTGGTAGCCCAGCGATATCTTGTCACTGTTTCGGGAAATGACGGTTAGCTCCTACATGCACAGCTCCTCCTAAATGTATTTCTGCAATAATTACTATGACGTCACGCTTATTTTTAGAAGGCCATTTTATTTGACCAGTAACACTCTTTTAACTTCCTTTTTCCATAATGTGTCCTTGGATTCCACTAACAAGATAAGTAGATAAAGGAACTACAACATTGTATGTTTTTTCTTCAAAAATACTTTAATAAATCCAGGGCTTGTTTTCTTGGTGCCTGCCAGGCAATTGGGAAGCCAGACAAAGATCTAGAGTTCTAGACCCCAGGCCAATGAAATCCAACGCCTGGGATCTCTTGCCTGGGCCAGGCAACTTTTGAGTCCTCTAAGCAAACAGCCCCCCAGTGTTTTAAACTGAGACATCTAATCTGCACCAAGGAATGCTCTTTTACAACATTTCTTGTCATTTCTGTTCTGTGCAGTATGTGAATACACAAATAATTTTTCCAATGTAACAGCAGTTTTGATATTTGAACAGAATTGCTCTAACAAGATAAAGTTGGCATTGTAAATTTCACAAGTACTTGTAGAGTTTCTACCGAAGGGCGGGCTTGGTGCAAACGGTAGAGGCTTACCGCCTGTGACCAGAAGGTCCCGGGTTCGAGTCGCGGTCTCCTCGCATTGCACAGGCGAGGGTAAGGCTTGCCACTAACACCTTCCCAGCCCAGCACTTCGCACACGTGCCGGAGCTCTCTGCCACCGGAATACGGCCACATCGTAGAGTTTCTACCCCCCCCAAAAAAAAAAAAGGGAAAGAAACATCAAGTAATGTTTATTTAGAAGATAAGACAGTTTCTTCAAAAATAGATGTGTCCTATTTCAGTATTCTGGTTCTCAGTAGTAAACTACGGTCTACTTGTTAGTTTGTTACTCGCAACTCATGATTACAATTCAGCCAAGTGGTGTGATCTATTTTGTTTCTTTTAAGGGCTTGTGGTCGGTAGTTCTTTACTTAATTTCCTGGGCTTATCCCCCATCTTTTGGTACAGGAAAGCGGGCATTATCAGATGCTTGGGCTTTGGACACAGCACAGAAACCATATAGGTGGCAGAAACTTAACCCTGAAGGTGATAAACCTTCAGCAAGAATGTAAGTTGTTCAATGACCTTCATGACCTCTATATTCTTTGTTCAGTATACTGACTTCTTTATATTCTTATCATAAAATAATTGTCCTCCTTTTTCTCCCTTTTCCCAAGTGTATCCTAGAACACTATTAGTTGATCAACAGAATTGAGTTCCTACTAGAAGGTAGTTATTTCAGATTTTTGGCTTTAGTTTCTGCAAACTTCTCTACCTTCAAGTCCTACTACTTTGTTTGGATTTTGTTGAATCTTTGTTGGACTTCTAGCTGTATAGATGAACCATCTCCAAGAAATAGGTAAGGACCATCAATTTAATAGGTGGATTAGTTTAATATACTTTATTCGCTCTAAAAGAATTGTAAGGAAAGTCACATATGCTCTGAATGCATGCTGGGGGACATTTCCTCAATGCAATATTATTGCTATAAGCTGTAAATGCGACATAAAGCTGGCGATTAAGGTCTATTAGGCATTGTGTCTGCATTGAATTTCAAATGTCTGTATAAGTATGCAATGTTTTTCTTTTAGCTGTTTTAATTTAAATCACTACAGGTATGCTACTGCCAGTGCACGCTCTGATGGCATGCTTTTACTTTGTGGTGGAAGGGATGCTTCTGGCATGGTAGACTCCTCTGCTTTTGTCACTGCTTGATAGATTTAAAAGACTCTGCCTATTTTGTTTGTTATCGTGTTGGCTGTCAATATTTAGCTCTGCTCTGCTAACCTAGATTCTTGCATGTTATATATGGTAATAATGATGATCACCAATCAAGGCCTATGTAATACTTATAATCCAAAGAGTCACCCCTTCATTAGTTTCGCTGCATATTTTCAGCTTACCTTATATGCCAAATCTTCTGTTGTAATGATCTATCTTTGCAATCTGAAGGAATCATAAGGAATGCAGAATTTTCTCATTGACATTGCAAAGAATTGAAATTAGAGAAATAGCATTGCAAGGCAGTTATATTGCTAACTGACTTTGCAGTTCCTGTCTTCTTATGGAAAATAACATGTGGTTAAAGCCATGCTTTTGCCCTTCTCGTGGAATTGGGCCTGCAATGAGTTTCATAGTACATGGTAGTGTAGCATCGTTTATCATGTGGGATACCTGCAGTGGATTCCATGCTAGAATCTGGAGGGATTTATCTTGTTAATCAATTTAGCTACTTCCTTCAAAATTCTGTTCAGTTTTTCATATTTCCCATTCTATCTGTTGAAATTTATTTGACGATAATTGCAATGCATTTGCAGCCACTTTCTGACGCCTATGGACTATTAATGCATACAAATGGCCAGTGGGAATGGACTCTAGCCCCAGGGGTATCTCCATCTCCAAGATATCAGCATGCAGCCGTAAGTCACCTATACCATATGTAAGCTGAATTACTTGTTAATATGGTGCAATCACAACCCACTGATTTGCATAACTGCTCCAGATTGAACCTTTTGACCTTAACAGTGTATTTTATTTATTCTTGAAAGTGATTCGTTCCTTATTGCTCTAGTTTGTTCACTTAAGTGTTAATGTTAATTTGCTTTGCCTCTCCTGATGGTCTTGAACTCTAGGTTTTTGTTGGTGCTCGGTTGCATGTTACTGGAGGTGTCCTTAGAGGAGGTAGAGCTATTGAAGGAGAGGGCGCAATAGCAGGTAAGCTTTTCTTTTTGCTCCTCCTACCTTCAGAAACATCTATTTGTCTCTTAAGCCTGACAAAACCACACATTGTGAAGTCCTGGACACTGCTGCTGGAGTTTGGTTGGATAGAAATGGCATTGTGACCTCTCGTACTTTGAAGTCATCCAATGAGCATGATGCTGCTTCGGATCTACTTCGGCGCTGTCGTCATGCTGCTGCCTCAGTTGGTTCTCAGATTTACATTTATGGCGGACTCAGGGGAGGTAAATGATGATGGATATCATTTTTGGTGCTTCTCTGGCCTTTTTTGTTTTGGTTCATCTCAAAACCAAAACCCTTCTAATTGGCATTATGGCAGTTTTTGAGGGTTGTAGACTTGTAGTTTCCTTTTGTTATTAATAGATAGCACTACAATAGCAATGGTTTGTTATTCACTTATTCTGATGTAGTGGCTTGTCACTTCAATGTGTGTAGTGTAGGCAGCCCATACATATTCGGATAACTAGACTCATAACGTGGTAGATTCTCACACCATGCCGCATTATTGTAGCAAATTACTGAGTTTCTGATGTTAGGTAATGGTAGGACCACACCAATGTTTAGCAAGCCACTTAACACTTATATTTTTCAGCAAATGTTTGAACAGATGGGCAAATGACCTGCTCCTTATTTCAGTTAGCTTATGTTGTTTGATTCATTACTGAAATCTAGGTCACCCGTAGTGCAATTTTCGGTGTGATGATTAAGTTGCCATCAATTCGTGCCACAGAAATCTGACATTCTTTTCCAACAGATATCCTCCTCGATGATTTCCTGGTTGCTGAGAATGCACCTTTCCAATCAGAAATCACTTCATCTATGTACAATGTTGATAGAGTCCCTTGGGGGGAATCTCAAAATAGAAACAATAGTTTTCATTCAGATTCACCTGTCCGTCAGTCTACAAATAACAGGCAAGAGACAGCTTCTGGTTTCAGGTTCCTAACTTGTCATCTTTGGTGCTAATAGAGTTTTTATGCTTTTGACTTCATGAAAGTTAAATGAGTTCACATCGTTTCCAGTGCGGACAAGAAGTCAATTGACATGTTGATAGAGGCCTCAACTGCGGAAGCTGAAGCTGTCAGCGCTGTATGGCGAGCTGCTAAGGAAGCATCTGCAGCATCTTCGGAAGATAGTCTTTCGGAGGGAATAGGATCGGAGTCCCCACTGAGTGAAACTTCACCAATGCCTGACGATTTCGATGATGGGGGATCCCTAGAACCAGATGTGAAACTACATTCTAGAGCAGTATGTATTCTCATGGAAATTCATTCCATTTCCTTTTTAAAATTGGATACTGACAAGATCATAATTACAAAATAATTGAATTCAAGAAGAGTCCTTTCCTTACCATTTGAAGGCAACTATCCAATGGTTGTGAAGCATAGAGCTGGGACTGGTTGGCTAACTGTTTTAGTACAAATTTTCTTCAATTAGAATAACCAATTACCTAAGTAGAAACCTATTCAATCTAATATAATAATGTGGCCTCTGCAATTAACTAGGCTTTAGAAATATCCTGAATGAGATTTCATGGCTGACTGTGTTATCCAAAGGTTTCTGTATGATTTTCTTGCAAATGAAGCTGTTTTCTTCATCCAAGCTCTATGCTTCCTCAATTTTTGGTCAATGCAAATTATTGATCCTGAACTCCTGATCTTCGATTTTGAAGGTTGTGGTTGCTAAAGAAGCAGTAGGAGATTTAGGATGCTTGGTCAGACAGCTCTCACTGGATCAATTTGAGAATGAAAGCAGACGGATGCATCCTTCAAACAATGACCAATCTTATCCAGGCAGGAGAACATTAAATAGACAACGATCACCACAAGGTTTGCATAAGAAGGTATGTCCAAAATTTACTCTCTTAATTTTGTGGCAGGAATTCTCTGTTCTTACTTTTTTTGTTGCAGGTTATTTCGTTCTTACTTAAGCCAAGGAATTCTCTGTTCTTTTTTGTTGCAGGTTATTTCGTTCTTACTTAAGCCAAGGAATTGGAGAGCTCCTGCTGATAGAACCTTTTTTCTGGATTCTTACGAAGTTGGCGAGCTATGCTATGCTGCCGAGCAGATTTTTATGCAAGAACCAACTGTTTTACAATTAAAAGCACCAATTAAAGTATTTGGTGATCTTCATGGGCAGTTTGGGGACTTAATGCGCCTTTTTGATGAGTATGGTTTTCCGTCAACTGCTGGTGACATAACGTAAGTAGCCCCTGAACTTCATACCTCTTTTGCAGGGGCGGAGCTTAGTGTAGACCAAGCTGGGCCACGGCCACCCCTGCTTAAGTGAATCTCTATTGTCTTAGAAGTGATTTTTGTACTGTTAATTAGTGTTTAATCTTCAATTATATAGACTGCCCCCCCCTCTATGGGAAAGCTCCGCCACTGCTCTTTTGAATGTGCATTTGAAACTACTGAACCGAAAGTTTTGGAATTAGTTTTTTTTTTCTTCTGTACACTATCTTTTTTTTGTATTGTTTTGTGGTCATGTTCTGCCATGCACTCTAAACTTACCCTTTCTGTTATGTAACACACTTACTTTTTTAGGTATATTGATTATCTCTTCTTGGGAGACTATGTTGACCGAGGTCAGCACAGCTTGGAGACAATAACTTTGCTTCTTGCTCTTAAAGTGAGTACCAATACCTGAAATGCCTTTGTTGTTGCTGCAACCATTTGTATAAAATTTAGTTCTGATTTTTGAGAAACATTACAGATTGAGTACCCTGAAAATGTACACTTGATCAGAGGAAATCATGAAGCTGCTGACATCAATGCTCTTTTTGGCTTCCGCCTTGAATGCATTGAGAGAATGGTAGGCATGCATTTCTGCATATATTTGTTTGAATTGAAATATTGCATGCATTAGTTGAATGAACCCTTTGATGTAGGGTGAAAGTGATGGGATATGGGCTTGGACAAGATTCAATCAACTGTTCAATTATCTCCCACTTGCTGCCATGATAGAAAAGAAAATAATCTGCATGCATGGTGGCATAGGAAGGTCAATAAACACCGTGGAGCAAATTGAGAAACTTGAAAGGCCTATCACAATGGATGTTGGTTCCATTATCCTCATGGACCTCTTATGGTATTTGGTTGCCCATTTCATCATCTTTACATTCATCTATAGCATGATTATGAATGTTTTTTTCTTGTATAAATGCAGGTCTGATCCTACAGAAAATGATAGTGTGGAGGGTTTGAGACCTAATGCACGAGGGCCCGGCTTAGTGACATTTGGGGTATGTATGACCGTATGACGGTTCTGTTGCTATAGAATTCTTAATAGTTATGTTTTCTTTTACTTTATCACGAGTTAGTCCCTCCAGACTGAATATTGTGTTCTTTTTTTGGAGAATCAATCTTATCTTAATTTTGTTGTTGACCCTGCTGATTAAACTTGTTTCTTATTAAATTTTCAGCCTGATCGAGTAACAGAATTCTGTAAACGAAACAAATTGCAATTGATCATAAGAGCCCATGAGTGTGTTATGGATGGGTTTGAACGTTTCGCTCATGGACAATTGATCACTTTATTTTCAGCAACAAATTACTGTGGTATGTATCTTGCACCTTCTAGGTCATTTTAAAATTATGTTTTTTTTTTTTCGTTTTCTCTTAGACCTTTCCTGCACCAGGTACTGCAAACAACGCAGGGGCCATACTTGTTGTTGGCAGGGGCTTAGTTATCGTGCCAAAGTTAATTCATCCACTTCCACCGCCTGTTAATTCACCTGAGTCCTCCCCTGAACGTGGGGATGCCACATGGATGGAGGTCAGAATTAATCTTTTTCTTTTTTTACTTATTTTGTTGTAAGGGTCTAAGGGAAAAATGAGGATTGATCAAGAATTGTAAGTTGTTGGAAATTACTGAATGCATATTAATTAAAAATATGTATTTCTGTGCCTATTTGATCACTGAATGCCTTGCCATGAGTTATTCTTCTGTCTTCTGTTGTGGGATTAAAAATAGGCTAACTTACAATGGTCTTGGAATTCTAATTATCTGTAGGAGCTTAATATTCAGCGGCCACCTACTCCAACCAGAGGGCGGCCACAAGCTGCCGGTGATAGGAATTCTCTTGCTTACATATGATACTTGACTTGACAGAGCCACCTCAGACTTCTGGATATGTTTGTTTGTAATCAGAAATTTCTTTACCAGTTTCAAGGTACATATGGTATAGCCAAGAAGAACAACCAACAGGACATCATGGATACACTTGAGATCAGTTCCCTGGTAATCCATTGTGATGCATCGGTTTTAACTGTAGTTGTGTGCTACCGTGACTTCAGCTCCTCACCGGGAAGCTACATAACAGCATTTCAGATCTCAAGCAACATTATATGCTTCCCAGCCTGATTTGGCGCTCTACTCCATTGTTTGGACCGAAAGTTGCGATACCGGTGGACAATAATCAAGTCTGATGTAGTTGTATTAGCTAATCTGTAATTTTAGTGTACATGGGTAGATTGTTCTTTCCTCAGAGTAAGAAGGTTTGCAAATGTTTGCATACCATGCTGCAGCCTGGGACGCTGTTTAAACAGGACAGCCATACAAGTTACCAGATCTGAGTTAGATTGGGCAGAGACCTGAGCCATTTCATTTGCTCTTTGCGGAGCATGAATGTAAGGGGTTGTGTCGTGAAATGTTGAATTCTTGTGCAATAAATTAAGTTTTGCTTAATTCAGTGAATGCTTTGATTTTTAGTGACCTGAGTTACAAATGAATATATTTGGGAGATCATTTGTCTAAAAGCTACTCCCTCTAGTTACAAATGAGTTTTCGTTTTGGGTTATCTTGGTAAGCCATTTGAAACTTTGGTTGTAAATTACCTTTTATATGCTTAGTTTAGAAATTTCAAAGTGATACAAGTAGATTTTGTCTCCAAATGGGGTTTTGGAAAAGTATACCTAGTTTTGTTTCATAAATATTGCTTTAAGAGTACTAGTCAAGGTCATATTTTGGAGATATGATGTGCAGAACATCACTTAGATGTGTCTATAAATGAAAGTCCGGCTAAACACAACTTTATATAGAAATTAAAACTATAATCTGTCACTTATATTATACCTACCTTTCAGGTACTTATAAGGAAGAAACAAAAGAAACATCGCGTTTATATGTAGAAAAAAAACATTAGCCATATCATATGCAGGTGTACTTAAATTGAGAAACAAAAAATAAAGCATAGGAAGAAAGGGTCCAAAACATTTTTTTGAACGAACAATGCCTGATGTGTGTTTATATTGATATAGACCATAGCCAGACAACTGAAAATAAACTATAGAAAACCAACAACGAACCTCGTGCCGCAACAACTCAACAAAGAAGACCAGCACCACCTAGCTCTAAATGTGATTGACAGCCACTAAGCCACGAAGAAGCCACAAACGCTCCTGTCTATCCAACAATGCCCAATCGCATACCGTTAAGAGCATGAACTCCTGGACGTCTGTATAATTGTATAAATAGGTGCAAAGGAGGCCACATTCTTTTATTTGTTGTGCAAGCAATGTCATACTAGTCTTTCGGGCGCGCCCATGCGCGCGGTGCACTGGCCAAACGTTTTTTTTTGGAAAAAAAAGATATAATCAAAGTTGGACTGTATGTTGATTTGAGAAAAATCCGAGGAGGTTTTCGCAAAAAATGGTGAGAGGGTTTGTGGAGCACGGGTCGATTTTTGGAAAAGGTAAGGGTTTTTTGCAAAAACCGGAGGGCATCCGCTCGGGTCATGGGTTGATTTCGAAAAAATCGAGGAGTTTCTTGCAAAATATCCCGAGAGGGACTCGGATCGCGGGTTGATTTTCGAAAAGTAGAAGGGTTTTTTTCGAAAATGACCGCGCTCGCCTGATCTGGGCATCCATGTGCCGATCGAACGCCCACGGCAAAGCCGGCGACGTGGACCTTGCCGGTCACATGCTGCCTGGGCCACAAACGAATCATATCTTTAGATGCATCACACTCTTATATATACTTGTTCTCAGACGCCTGTTTAGACACCCCACAAATTTCAAAATATAGGGAAGTTTTTCACCTTAATGTATGGAAATATAATGACTTTTTCAAGTTTTTTTAATTCAATTCAAATGCATATATTAAAGGGGAGATTCCTCTATATGTTGGGGTTCAAAACCTTTAATTATATTTATCTTATGTAATCCTAAATTGAGTTGTCATCAATCACAAAAAAAGAGAGATTGTAAGTGCATTTGGCCCACCTATGCCGGTTTTGGTGTATTAATGATAAAGCAATTTATGAACTAATCAATTTGATGAGATTCAAATGTAGCTATTAATCCCTTCGGGGATTGAATTAAGCTTGTGACCCCACAATTTTAACGAAGAAGTGGAGCTCAACTCAATAGAGGCTTTATTTGTTTTATATTTTGATATTGATTATAGAATACGCCATACTATAAAAGGGATACAAATCTCAAATACTTGAGGAAGACAGAGTGCTCAAGTTGAGTTGGTCAAGATAATGACACTCGGTTTAGGTGGATTAACTTGGCGTGTACTCGGACTCTTGTAACATCAAAATTGGTGTTGTGTGTTTTAATAGCGCTTCATCAAATTTGGCCATGTTATTAGTCTCTACTAAGGACGAGTTGAAGTCGTGAAGCCTGGAAGGGGCGTGAGGTATTTCATTCCTATTGGCCATGACACCTAAAACAATTTAGGTCTCGCTTGTCTTGGGTCCTCGTGTTTCTTGTTGCAATTGCAATCTTGTTTTTTCTGTGTGCCTATGCATATGAGTGTGCTGTGTTCAATGTGTGTTGAAGTGTGGCTTGTGGAGGTTTTCCCGCTTTTAATATAATGATAATATGTGTTAACTTTTTTTTATAAAAATACGCTATTTAATATATTATTGTCAAAGTCGTATTTTGAAGACTATGCCAATATACAAATGTGTCACTTATTTACGTGTAAATGGAAATAGCGGTTAAACACAAGTTTATTTGGGGGAAAAAACTATATTGCCATATTATACTTATCAGGTGTACCGCTGAGAGATGACACAAAAAGGGAAAATAGTCTAATACATGTAGACGAGACATTTAAAATCCAAAACTGTGCTAAGAAATCACACAAAAAATAAGGGCAAAGAATCCAAAACAAAATATGTACACAAGACATTTAAAATATGAAGACAGGAGCAAAAAAATCCAAAAATATTGGGACTACTTTAAAATATGAAAAGAGGGCAAAGAGTCCAAACATGTGCACCAAACATTTAATATCCAAAAAGAGATGACACAAAAAAGAGGGGAAAGAGTCCAAAACATGTGCACGAGACATTTAAAATCCAAAATATTGGTAAGAAATCACAAAAAAATGTACAAAATACAAAACAAAAACATGTACAGGAGACATTTAAATCTAAAATATTGCTAAAAAATCACAAAAATGATGTAGAAAATACAAAACAAAACATGTACATGAGATATTTAAAATAAAAAGTAAAAAGGAGCAAAAATGAGGAGAGTCCAAATATGTGCACGAGACATTTAAAATCCAAAAATAGCACGTGGATGAGACAAAAGAGATGACACAAAAAAAAGTTCCGAAACATGTGTGCGAGACAATTAAATGCAAAACATTGCTAAGAATCACACCCAAAAAGTGATGATAGAGAATGCAAAAAGTAGAGGTGGCATTTATTTATTTTTAAAAAATAAATAAAGCCAAAAAATGAGATAAGTCAAAACTTGTGCATTAGACATTTAAAATCCAAAAAAAAATATCTGCACAAGACTTTTAAAATCAAAAATATTATAAAAAATGATGGTAGATAATGCAGAACAAAACAGGTACAGGAGACATTTAAAAAATAAAAATAAAATAGAGAAAAAGTAAAAAAAATCGCTAGAAGGAGGGCTTGAACCTCCGACCTTGTGGTTAACAGCCACACGCTCTAACCAACTGAGCTATTCCAGCTTTTGATGTATGCATTGACCTTTTGCTTATCTATCATATTCTCATTACACATCAGAACAACATGCCGACATGATGTCATGTCCGGTGCCGCCTGAAGAACTGGAACGAACGGAGATGGACAAATGGATAGCATTCGTGGTAGAACTAGTGCAGGGCGTCTGGCAACAGGAAAATAAATTAGATGTACATCAGCTGAATATATTTACCGTGGCTCATTAGAGTGCTAGAATTCCCTATTCACAGCATAATTAACAGAGAAATATTATACACATAGTGTCAGCTTGTAAGAGCATGGTTATGGAGTTAAGAAAATTATTCAGTGCCAACCACCGCTTTGGTGGAATTGTGGAGAAAAAGAACCTGACAGAAATCTAAAAGTTCTATATCACATATTACAGATTTTGTACGTGCTCGTGCAACTACAGGTGTGAAGCTATAATAAATCGTTTTAATTTATAATCTGATAATTTAGTAAGTGTACAAACAGTATTAATTTATATTTAGTAAATCAGTAAGTGTATAGGTAGTTTAAATTTATAATTTGATAAATCAGCAAGTTTGCAGTACAGTACATGGACCACTTTATTAAGCACAACTGATGGAGATTGGAGAACAACTGTGGTCGTTTCATAAATCGCCATGCTTGCAGGGTAGGTAGGATTAACTTGAGTATAGCATATATATATATATATATATATATATATATATATATATATATATATATATATATATATGTTTTCACGCTGGTAGGGAGACAAATCATATACCAAAATAATCCTAAGGCTAGCTCTCTTTTTTGGCGTTGGTAGAGAGCAGCAGGTAGCTTGCAATGACTTCATCATCATCTCCATTTTATGTTTTGAAAAGGCTAGCAGTATATCGTAGTACGCATGAGGAGAAGAAAAATTAGCATTGCTATTATGCAGAAATTGAGAGGGGGGTTAGGGATAAAGCTGACCTTAAAGAGTAGAACCATCATTGTTATATGTACCAACAGCACTTACCTATTCATAGGAAAAAAACATGTGAAGTCCAGAAAAGCAGGTATAGGTACGAAATCAACATGAAAGGAGAGAAGGTTTAGATTTTGTATAAATGTATGAAGAGTTTGAAGAAACTGATAGATCTCTTATGTAGCTAATTAAAACTCAATACTATAATGTTGGGTTTATTCCCATATCTTTCGGGTATTCTAAGATATTGTATTGATCAACTATAACATAATAATATAGGCCTTTCAAAAATGTAGCATAAGTAGGCTCCCGGCAAGGCCAGCATTTTCTGTAATATAAAAAAAATCTCTCCTCTTAATGAAAATGAAACGCAATTTTCTTGTGTTTTTGAGAAAAAAACATAATAATATAGGCCAACGTAAGAATGATAGCATCTGATAGGCAGTCAGTACTCTAATGTTGGGTTTACTCCCATATCTTTTGTCTATTCTCATATGTTGTTTAGGTCAACTATAACATAATAATATAGGCCA